GGTGCATTCTCGTGAGAACCCATTTGCCGGTTTCACCAACATAATTGGCTTGGCCACAAAGGCAGTCGATCCGGTAAATGACACCGGACTTTTGGTTAACGGGTATTGGGTCTTTGGGCCGCATAAGTTGTCTGCGGATTGTTGCTTCCAGCCTGTGTGTCCTCTGTGCCTCTGTGCCCTTGCCCTGTTTGATAAGTTTCGTCAACTGATGTCAGGAACCTTCTCCTGTTGTCGGGTCAACTAGAATATAGTTCTCTGTTTACCTTTTGAGTGCAAAGCTTGGAATCCTGGATGTATGTGCCTTGTGTTATCTGCTTATTTGCCATTATGTAACAAGTAATCTTTTTTTATTTCACAACCAGACAGTGGCTGATTACACAGCCGAAAGTTCAAACCTGGAGGTGGAGGCTGAGGGGTTAGAGAAGAGTCTGAAGGAGAAGAATCGGATTTGCGAAGCTGCCCGAAATCGCTCCCTCGAGCTGACTAAGAAGCTGCAAGTGCTGGCCGAAGAACGTCAAAAGGTAGGTTATCATGTATGCAGGGGTGACAGATTCCAAGCTTGTCCTGGACGCCTACTAACCCGCCTTCTTTCACATTACCCCCTCAAGGGCCTCATTGAATTGCAAATGCGTCAACATGCCACCCGATACTGGGAACAGTTGAGCGCGGGTCGCTATCGTCGACTCTGTCCAACTGCCCAGGCGGCGAAGAGTGAGCGCGAGCGTCAGCTGGGACGAATGCGTTCCATGCTGGCAGTGGTGGACAGGCTCACTTCCGATTTCCCAGCCGTATGTGTTGGCTATTTTGTCGTTCAGTTCAGTTTTATCAAGAAGGAGAAGATAGGCAAACGCCTATGAGTTCCCTATTGGTAACTAAATGACTAGGAAATGTATAAATACATAGGAAAAGTGGAAATAAGTACGTCAATTTCATGCTTGCAGGCGAACTGCGAGCAACTGTTGGTTAGTAGAAATAGTTATTGTGAAGAAGAAGAAGACGCGATCTCTGGAACTGCAATTTTATTCTTCTGAGCTTTCGGCTCTACACGAAAAACCATCGTCAGAGAAAATGGGAAAGCAGCAGATTTTGGTTACGCGTAAATAGGGGTGGGAGGGGGTGGCACTTGTGATTGTTCCGTGCCCACGCCACGTCCATGCGCACAAGTGCCACCCCCCTCCCACTCCTATTTACGCGTAGGCAAAGTGTGCTGCTTTTTCATTTTCTCTGGTGATGGCTTCTCGTGTGGAGCCGAAAGCTCAGAAGAATAAAATTGCCGTTCCAGAGATCGCGTTTTCTTCTTCGCCTTTATGACAAGAACCTGGGGCACGCATATTTGCTTCTCTTCGTGAGAATTTCGGGCGCGATGTACTTCGTACAGC